TAATTACTTACAGTCAACTAGAGTTTTTATCACTAGACTTGAGAATCTAGAAAATGTGATTTCCCTTGGCCATTTTTTCTTCACTTTAAAATAAAGAGTCAAGAGGATCTGAATGGAGTGATTAGGAAGGTCACTGTTTGTTGCAAGCACAATGGGACAATTGTGAGTTGTCTCTCTGAGATTTTTGCGGAAGCATCCATTTCAGCAGATTTTCTGGCACTGAAACAGGATTTTTAGTTCCTGATCAACAACCCAAATCAGCCTCCTTGACAGCTAAAGATAAATTTAATTATTTTGTACAATGAACTGTACTTCAAAGTCTCCATAGAGATCCTCTATTCTTAGGATCCAACAGGGCAAATGTCAGGCCAGGAAGAAAAATCAGAGTTGGAAGATTCTGTGCTTTAGCGTATATGAATACTAGTTTGTTTTCTGACTCTTCTTATTGGCTACAGAGCACAAGGAAGCTGTAGCCACAGATGGTACCACGTAGTCATCTTTGCACTGGTTTGAAACTCAATTCCAGGGTAAAGTCTCACAAGTGGGAACGCATGCACCAGACAGCTACATCAGACTTTGGGGGATCTTTGCTTCAATACCCTCCCTTCATTATCCTCCATTTATGGATGAAACTAAAGAAATTCAGAAACAATGGGTCATTCAACTACTAAGAGCTTAAACTAGACCTGAACCCAGTTTTCATTTCTCCTACTTTATTATTCTTTAATAGAACCACACAATCTCTGGAGCCAACACCCAGAGGAGAGATGATGAGACAAAAGTAGACTCATGTCTTTTGCAGAAAACTTGAAGGAAGGGAGGTATGCAGCTTGGAACATCTAAACTAATGACAAGAATGTAGTCCTCATTATTTGAAAGGGATTATTATTTTTTCTATGTAGTTAGAAGTGGTTAAGCCAATCATGGGTTGAACTTCAGGAAAATCGGCTGCATATCAAAATGAAAAGATCATTTTCTATGATCTTGAAAAGTTTCTGGGATCATGAATTGTCTGTCATTGGAAATTAACAAGGGTAGACAGTTACTTGATAGAAAGGATCTGAATGTAGAAAGAGCAGGTAGGCAATTTAACAAGCTCATTCTATGATTCCTCTTGAAACAGCCTACGTGGTGGTGGCACTTTCCTCACCAGCTCCTGCAACCCTTTCCATCACTAATGGGGTCAAGTCACATATGGTATTAGAATAGGATCTTTCTCAAGTAAAATTCTACACAGTGTTCCCTGTCAACAGCCTTCAGTAGACTGTCATACTAGAGTAATTTTAGCTCAAAGTGTACTCACCACAGATCGTGCATACTTGGCTTGAAATAAGAGAAAACAGCAAGAGCCCCACTAGGGGCAGCCAGTGTGGTTGTCTCATCTCTCCAACAGTGTTCTGGAGTGTTGAGGGCTCGGTTGGCTATTTATCGGGTGATGGGCAGAAGGTAATGAGAGCCCCTCCTTTGGTTTGCCTCAGCCTTTTTCACTTAAGCAAATATTGAGCAATGTCAGAAGGTGTGGTCAAGTGTATTTGTCCATGAAATGTGATAAATCAGGAAGAAGACTTAAAAGGTATGGTTAGAGAGAATGAGGAAATAATTTTTCTTTGTTTCTTTGTTTCTT